AGATACAGCTGAGAGGACTCCGTAGACATCACTATAGTGGAGATTGCTTTCTGAGACCTGCTTCTAAACTCTGCTTCTTGTGCGATCGTGGGGTTCTCTTTCAGAACCTCTTTGCCGGTAACAATATCCCACAGACCCTTTGATAAAAGAAGATGCTTTAACTGGAACTTCCATGTCATCCAATTTGACGAGTTCAGCTTGTCAATCGACCATCTGTCGGATTCAGCCATCCTTCTTTTGTAAGCAGTAGTTTCTAAGTCTCAGTAATAATTCAGCAGCAATCTCTCAGCGTTGAGCATGAACTGGGCTCATAACGTGTTGTAATACTGGTAACAAGTTGAAGTTAAACTGACAAACTCAAGTTATCATACAATAAATGAGAACAGAAGAGAAGAATGTAGAATGGTGTATGCGTAAAAGTATCAACAGTAGAACTAGAACAGCACACTCATAAATGGGACACAAATTAATAACTAAATAACTACCATAATCATTAAACAAAATAAACCAACTTACTTTACTATTTACAACAGATGGACTCTTCTTTCTTCTATTCGCTGCCTTTTTAGGAACGAGAACTGCCTTAAAATTTACCTCATAGCAATGTGATCTATTACTTGATTGCACTTTAACATTGGCACACTGCCCAGGTTTGCCTGCTTATATAAAGCTGGATGTGCCTTATTATAAGAGAGGCTCTTTATCTTGTTTTTGTCTTTCACTCATTGATAACTGTGATTTCCACTTAGTGGCTATTTCTTTTGCATTTGCATCAAGTGTGGTAGAAAGTACAATTGAAGAACACGTCTACTCATTTTAATAAAGACAAGAGAGAAGGAGAATATCTGTATGAAGAAGTAAAGTGTCAATATGAGCAGCATCGATACATGTATCTTAAGTATCTTGAAGAAAGTAAATACCTTTGACGTCCATTTCAATGCCAATACTGCAGTAGTAAAGGTACGTTCCTCTCTATTACAAAGGATTATTATGAGGAATGCAGGTGGTAAGAATAATTGATGGTGTTAAAAATTTGGCACAGAAGTACAGTTAGTTAAAATAACCTAATTATCTTATTAGTGGTTGTCATTGCAGGTGGCTCTGAGCCTGAGGGCCTGAAATGAAACCCTGAAAAAAAAACGTTTAAAATAGATGAATAGTTATACCTGTTAAATCCTTAATGAAATCCTGAAATAAATTTAAATTATTGTCTTCTTGATGATACACATTATATGGCAGAATGGCACTGACTGCTAACCAGCATAATCTTCAAGGGTTCTCTTTGAAGTGGGACTACCAATTCATTGCAAGCTCTTTTGCATTTGAACCTGTAGTTATCAAATATCCATTTGTTATTAGATGCATGGATAGCGTCATTTCAAATTATGACTTCTTGTAATCCCATTTTAAAGCAACATTTCACAAACAATGAATGGGGACAGTTTATTTGCTTCACACTTACGAGAGGCATAGAGCCAATTGTAGCACCATTTGTCATTTCCTAGCAACCTTGTGAATAAATCCTGGACAACTTGTCATTTATCTTGGTTCATAACAACTTCAGCTTTTAAGTTTTTCCTTGTCTTTGGAGAAAAGTATGTTAATCATTAAACAAAATGCAAAGAGCACTTTGATTCACAGAAATTACCTAAAAGAAAGAGATGTGATTCATAATTAGCAAAGGTAAATGCCTCAGGATTCTTAAAGACATAAGACAGCTGAGATTTAACAATATTTGATAGAAAAAAGTACCTGTAGATGCTCATTTTGAATTAGCCTTATATTGGTGGCTTTTGGTGCAGTTGTTCAATTTTACTTAATGATGTGAAAAGAAATTTTGAACTGGTAGTTTGGTGTGCTGCAAAAATGATTTGGTTGGATTGTTACAGTGTTCAGTGGAATGATCATTTTACACAATGAGCATCTACAGGTACTTTATTGTTCTATATTGTCAAGATAATTATACTGACATACTTATGCTCTCCATTTCACCTACCCCAATCACGTGTGAATGAAATCACACATTTAGCATACTGTTTTATACTGAGTGTGTGATTTCATCCACACGTATACTGAGCACAATACTTCCAGTGAAGCTCCCTTTAAAGGAGCATGGACACGGAAGTGCATACATGCTATGGCCTCACGTGCACAAGCAAGAATACAGACCAACAAAGGGTGTGGCATTGTGAGCCATGTGATACAATGGATTCTGGATCTTCAATTGTAAGTGTCTCCACAGTGATTCCTTTTCATACATACACTTACTGAAGGATTTCTAGCATTCTGATGCTTAGTACTAAGCCTCCAGTCCAGCATTATTTCTTTGTAGGTGAACTTTGACGGTCGCCATTTTGTCACTGTCATGTGAGCTGAAATACTACATCATCTTGATTATTTGGTCTAAAAATCAAGATGACGCGCTTCCGTGTCCATGCTCCTTTAATTTGTACTCAAATAGTGAATCCATTTTCTACTAAAACTGAAAAGCTATTTGTACATATTTCCCGTAATTCCTGATATTAGCAACCTATATACGAGTCAGTAAACAATCATGCATGCAGGCTCTTTTCCCAGAAGGAGTGTCCTTGTTTTCCTTAAGAGTTTGACTGATGTATTCAATGGGTGGTTTCTTGCCATCGAAACTGGATATGGTTCCGCCAAACAGTTTCTTGAGTGCCTCTCTCTCCTCTGCATTCCATGTAAGCCTTTGAGATCTTGTCATTGTTTTAACTGCCAATACAATATGTTCAGTGTCCTGTGCCTCATCTTTTACTTCAATTTTCTTAATATGCTTGATTGACAAAATCCCAAGAACCTCCTTGCCCTGTCAATTGCTGTTAGTTCATCAACATGTTCGGTGTCTTCATCTGCCATTCTAAATGCACGTAGTAAAATTAAGAGGTGATATTACATGTGCTTACACTGCCATATCAGATAAATCTTCAATACCAATTGTATAATACTTAGTGGGCGTATCAAAGAAGCCGCCAGTGTTACAAAGCTTAATGTATCACTGTGGTTTAGTAATTATCACATTGTGGTTTTGAGGTTAACAGTAATACACGAGACTGAATTATTGATTGAATACATGAATAAATGTGACCATAATTGACAAAAGGGCCCTTATGGCGGATTTTAAAATTGATCGTTATAATGGTAAATATCAACCTGTGAGTGCTTTGTTAGACAATCATTTGTTTCTAAAAGTTTCATGGTAACTTTTGCATCCTGTGGAGTAATTTTATGATAAATGGGGCTCAGGAAGTTGGATTTCTTAGGCTCTAAAGACAAATTTCACTACCCGCCATAAGGTACCTTTTGTCAATTATGGTCACAAATGATTGAATAAATGATTGCTTTGCTGTGAATGTCAAAATTGTTAATCAAGTTTAAATGTGCAATTGCTGAAGGAGCATCCACTGAACATAGCCGGGTTCACTTTAGGACCATCTTTGCTTTCATCCTCGTTTCTATCGTCATCTTTGACATCACCATCACATAGCAGTCGAGATGTTTCTAGTAACTGTTCATTTTTACTCTTTTCATATACTCTTAATGCCGTTAACGATCGATGGCCAGACCTCTCCTGAATCAATTTCTGAGGTACGCTTTTCTTAAACATTGTCGTTACACCAAATGATCGAAGACTATGGTTTGTTTTATTGCCGTCAATACTCCCAGCAGCACACATATCCTTAACCATTGAAGATAACTTATTCTTTCTAATTGGAACAGAATTAAACCAGGGCTTTCCTTTGACTATACTTGATAATGAGTATACATAGAAGTTATCTTTTTCTATACCTTCTCTAGGAACTTTCTCAAAGTACTGGTCAAGTATATGAACATAATCTCGAGAGCCTTCCTCCGAAACCTCAAAGTGATGCACAACTTTGTTATCAAGATGCAATTGACCCATTCCTCCACCGTGATTTTTCGACCCTTGTTTTGTGTATATGTAACATGCTCTTTTTTTGCCATCAGCTGTTGCAGTTTCACGAGTAAATTGAGAAAAACGAAGAAGGCGATGTTCATTGCCTCCTCTCAAACACAGATACTTGCCATTATA